CGTGTATTCGTCCTCACCTCGTGCACCCTCTCAGCATCCTGGCGCGCTACGTTGCGTCCGGGAGACACCGCCCTGAGCACTGGCGGGCTTCTAGGAGGGTGCTGCGCTACTTGGCCAATACCTCAGGCTTGGGGCTTGTGCTTGGAGGACGGGGTCGAGTTGTGCTCACTGGGCACTCAGTCGCTTCTTGGGCTGACGACTAGCACGACCCACAGGTCTTCACAGGGCTTCGGCACTTGCCTCTGTTTCGTGGAGGTCCACTCGCTCGTCTTCTGTGCTTAGCTCCAACTGTTGGGCCGAAATATACGTTAGGGCTATGGATGCGCAGGAGTTGAGCTAGCTGACCTACTTGCCTAAACGACTTGGGTGAGCGGCCTCGTTCTCCTCCGGTTCTGTACGTCGGCAACAAGGCCATGATTGCCTTGTGTCGGGAGCAGTGACTGAAGCACAGAACGAAGCACATTGCCCTTCGTTACTTTCTCTTGAGAGAACTGCTAGCAGCGTGGTCAGCTTCTCCTTTTCTACGTTGCCTCAGAGGCCAACACTGGTGATAATTTCACCAAGGCCCTTGGGTCTGGCGATCATGAGCGTTTCTGTACTGCTTTTGGCTTGAGCCCACTCTGCCTCACTTGTTTGTCTCTTGATCTCGCCTTTTACTTGTTGTACCATGTTATATACTTATACCGTATAGTTCCGGCTAGAAGACCCGCGGTAAGAAGGTCCCCCGGGACTCTTGAATGGGTAGGGGGACTCTTTTTGTGGCAGGTTTTGGAAGGACCCCCCTTTAGCCCCTAATCATCATAAGACCCCCCTTTTCTGTATACAGTAGTTATAATTGCTATTGTGCGTTAGCTTTTACTGGCATAAATTCGAATTCTGACACACTTTTTGTGTCAGACTCGAATTCTGACACTTCATTGTGTCAGACTCGAATTCTGACACAGATCTGACGCGCCGCCACGCGCGAAGGTTCGCGCGAATTCGTTACGAATATAAGACCCCCCCGCCCCAAATTGAGTCGTACACCCTAAATAGCAGATTGATAATTGATAAATAGGTTACCCCGGGTCTTAAAAAATTGGTGCCGCCATAATGTCCACCCAAGCACAATTTCCAGCATTTGTAGAGAGTCCCCCAGGTCTTCTAGCCGGAATTATACGGTACCCTGCTTGTTTACACTTGCTAGGTTGTGATCCTTGTACTGCTATTGATGTATAACATCGCATGTGAACTGGCCTGTTGGCCGCCTTACTTGTGTTCGGACTGTGTGGTGATCTCGAGATCCACTCCGAGCTCTGCTTTGCTGCTACTCTTGACTGGTCTTGTGACCATCCTGTTGTCCCCCCACTTAGCCTATGGGGGTGTTGCAAATTAAAGACATTCTTGTTCGGCTGTAGTGGGGTACACAATATAGAGTACACACGATTTTAGGGCTTCATACTTGTTTCCTTGCATCCTCTTTGCTAATAATTGTTCTCTCGTACGTTCTAACAACTAATAACGGAAGGTCAGGAGAACAATGGAAAAGGCAACAGAAAGGTAAGAAAAGAACGATAAATTGCGGAAGAAGAAACAGTATTGAAGCCAATATTAACCTATAAGAGGAAGGAAGGTAATTATTAAGTATGGCATTTCAACCAAGTACGAACCCACCTAGCTACGAAGGCACATATGTGCTAGGAGAACTAATGAACGGCTGTCGACTCTGGTTAGAAAGAAAAGGAACGAACAAAACAGTGAATTTAAGGCGAGAATACATTGAACGAGTGAATCTGAACCGTCCAGTATCCCCGCCGTCTAGTCCACCGCCATTCCCACTCTGCCCATTGGGGCCATCGCAACGCAATTCAACACCCAATCGCATGGCCATGAGTCGACGTGATGCGATGACCCTCTCCAGGATCGAATGAGGTGGAACTAGGCTCAAAGGAATCCGAGGCATGGAGTCAAGGACTTCGTTGCACCTGGTTTCCGGTTAAATGGAAATTCAATTCGAACATCTCCCAATTTCAGTCACGAACTGTGACCGGATTTCAGCAATTGCTGGCGATCAGTCATGGGACGCGAACGATTCTGGTTACCCTACCAGAGTACAAACAGACGTCAAATTATGAAATACTGTACCTCCCTTTGGCCGTCGGACATTCGATGACTGAAAACGTGGAACTGTATCAAGCCGAAGAGCGGTTCACATGCTTTCCCAAACCAAACGCGTAATTACTGCACAGAGCGGATCATTCTTTTCTTTCTTGAGAATAGTGTAAGATCCCAGGAATGTGCTCCTAGATCCCGCATCATCTGGGATGCTCCTAGAATGTGCTCGTTCTGCTGCGGCATTCACCGCCGCAGAGCGTTTTCCTGAAGTCTATGTCACGCGCACTGACGTAATGATTGGGACGCATGAGTCCTAGCTACCGGCTGTGACTCCAGCGGTATGCGTCCAGCACGAGAGGTGAACGCCGCTTGCCTCGCGCGAGTGATTTTGACATTACCCGATCACATTATTCCGTCAGGATCAAAATCGCGCGTCTGGTTCGCCATGGCACAGAATCGAGCACGCGTTGAGCCATCAGGTGGGAGCACGGGGACCGCGCTGGGTGCAGCTAGCCCCGGCCAGGCACAAGCTCGGATATCGAGCGAGAAAAAACAGGCCTCGTGCCGTCGAATGTTCCGATTTCTCATCGACAGCAAGTTCATCATCATTTCGTCGATCTATCCCGCAGCATCAGGCGTCCATCAAGCACACAGTCGCGGCCAGCAGTGGCCCTTGCTCGCACCCGTTGCTCGCAGCCGTGCCCCGGCACGCCTTTCTCCGTTAGAGTTGACTCGCGAGCCACCAAGGCGGTTGCCTGAGGCCCACCCGCTCACCCATATCGTTCAGCCATGCCGCGCGCTCTTTCGCTGTGCGATTCTCGAGAACCGTCGGCACTGCGGCCTGGAGAAGGACAACGTGAAAAGTTCTGAAGCCTATTTAGTGAGGAGCGCCACTGATAGGCTTACAGTGCTTGCAGAAAGGAATGAACTGCGTTTCCTCATTTGAAGCCTCGCGCACCGTAAGCCTAATCGTTTTTTCCCCGCACGGCGCAATGAGCTGCTTGCACGACCCGCACGGCGCGTTCAGCTGGGCGGACGGCCCGCTGGGGAGCGGCAGCCCGTCCTTCTTCGCCTCCGACCTCGTCGCCGCGCATCGCCCTTCGCCCTTCGCGCTCCTCGCACCATTCCCCATGTGCGCCGACTCACGCGCCGCGCTGGCGAGCTCGAGTGTGCGCGAGCTGATGGAGCGATGCGAAGCTGAACGGCACGACACGTGGCAGCAGCGCGTTACGCATTAGCGCCAGTGGAACGGCGCGGCCGCCCAGCCGAACCACTCCGCTGCGCTCCCCGTGCGCGCCCCGGAGAGCTCCGCGCGGGTCCCAGCGTGGGGCGCAGCATCAGGCGGCGCTTTGACCCACTCGCAGCCACTGCTGGCCGCAGCAGCATCGGCTACAGCAGAGCTGTGGGGCGGCAATGAAACCGCACACGCACAAGCAAGAAGCGCTCTTAACGGGCTATGCAGCCCCGCTCACAGTTGGCGAGAGGCAGCAGAGGCGTGTCACACACACTCGCCTTCACGCCGCGGTGGCGCTGCTGCCGCGAGCGCCACTGGCGGTGCAGACGAGTCGGCGAGCAGGGCTGCTGCTGCTAGTGCAGGTGGGGGGCAGGGTGCGTGTGGGTGTACCGCGGTGGAAAGGGAGGACGCGAGAAGGACCCCATCGGACCGTGGCAAGCTTAGGCGCTCCCTAACAGCCGGAGCAGCCATGCTGGCGGGAGGAGGAGAGGAGACGGGCGACAGAGCAGATTTGGGCGCGTGGCGTGCAGTTAGTGGCGCCGGGGGGAGCCAAGCCACCACTTCCGCACTCACCTCCTCTCGACACCTCCAATCCTGTGTGTCCGCTGCTGCTGCTCCCTTAGAGACTGGTGAGGAGGGTGAGGAGGGATGGATGTGGGAGTACCAGGGGTGCTGCGAGCACAGCAGTTGGAACTACAGCAGTGCTGCCGCCCACTCCCCGGAGACACACCGCCACTCTCGCAGCACTGCGCGCACCACTAGCTCCTCCTTCTTCTCCCCGTCGCACCACTCGTTCAGCCCTGCCCACGACCTGCTGCCTTCCCCTGCTTCCACCCACCTCTCTGCCCTGCATCCATGGTGTGCCGCCGTCTCTCGTGCCCCGTGCTGTGCTGTGCGCTCTTCTGCAGCTGCCACGGGTGGTGCCGTGTGCGCGGCAGCAGGATGGACACCATGGAATCACGGCGCTCCCCCATCCACACCTGCCACACCTGCACTGCCGCCCATCCCCGTTGCGCCGCCCAGCACTGCCCCTCCTCCGCCGTCCACGCCCAGCCCGGCACAGCTGCAGCAGGCCTTCCCGTGTGCTGCTGTCAAGGCTGTTGTCAAGGGTGCTGTGGGCGATGAGGGCAAGACGGGCAGGTGGTGGGCGAGGCTCACACGGCCGTGGTGGCGGCAGCACACGGACGGGCGGAGGCGGGCAGGGAGGGCCCGCACCCTCTGTGAGCTGCTCACCTGCTGGGTGCTCTCATCATGACCTCCCCGCGCCATGCCACCGATGATTATTGACCTATCCCCTCAGATTTGGAGAGGGGCTTAATTCAACCCAACACTTTTCAGAAGGCATTGTGAACCCGCCCGTCATAACCAGCCTTCCTGTATTATGGGCCCCATGGGTTAGCTTTTGGGAGGGAATAACATCTGGCCAAAGACGGTCATGCAGTAATCTGTACAATTTTGTATGGTTTGAAAAGTTTCTCGCCTTGTGTGTACCTTTTCAAGCATCTTAACTCTGACATTATCGAAGATGATGCAATTGCAAGCTGTTGGTGCTGCTGATGCAGTGTGCAAGTCCTCTGCAGCCACTCGACAATACAGTACATCAGTTCTATTATGCACTACGGTAGGACTGCATCAAATCAAGTTAGCTTGAGTGAATCAGCATTGCACACATTCAGACGGTGGGGAAGGAGGGGTCGATGTGAGCCCCCCAAGCGAGCATGCCACCGTCCACACTCACAGCCGACCCCACACCCGCCTCCCTCAGCACTCCCACCCCCCTCTGTGAGTCGTTGCCCCGCCGGCACACCACAAACACCGCCGCCTCCGCCCCTACCCCTCCCTCCCCCCCACGCCCAGCTCCTTGCTGCTCCTCTGCCGCTGCCGCCTGCTCACCGGGCGCTGCAGGTGCCTGCTGTGATGATGTGGACGATGCTGACGTGGCAGCTGCCCGGGCGGCTGATTTGATCTCGTCCAGGGCGGCCGGCAGAGTGGCGAGGGGCGTGTTGATGGCGCCGGGCAGGTGGGCGATGGAGAAGAGGTGGGGCGGCCGCACGTCCAGCAGCACGTGTGGGCGGCGCTGCTGCCGGGCGGCGAGGAGAGTGGCGGGCGGCACTCGTTGGCTGGGAGGGATGAGAGAGAGGGACTTGGGGCCCTGGAGTTGGGCAAGGGGGGGAGGGGTGGGAACAAGGGGGGGGGAGAAGGGGGGTGGGAGGGGGTGATGGAGGGGATGAGGCGAAGACGAGAGTGGGAGAGTGGAGTGAGTGTGAGGGTGATGATGGAGATGCAGGTAGATGGGCGAGGGAATGCATGCAAGGGATCCCATGGGATGGGATGGGATGGGATGGGATGGGATGGGATGGGATGGGATGGGATGGGATGGGATGGGATGGGATGGGATGGGATGGGATGGGATGGGATGGGATGGGATGGGATGGGATGGGATGGGATGGGATGGGATGGGATGGGATGAGATGGGATGGGATGGGACGGCATGTGGGATGGCACATGGTGCTTGTTGCTAGAATGTAATGAGGGGTTGTGTTGAGCTGGTCGCATTCACATCGCAGTTCGAACTCCCACACCAAACCTTTGACCGCCACCAAACTGTGGTCGTCCATGCCTGGCGCTTGGTTTAGGAGAGAGGCGAGGAGCAGGAGGGAGGTGAGGAGCAGGAGGGAGGCGAGGAGCGGGAGGGAGGGCGGCACCTGGTCGTGGAAGGGCGAGGAGGTGAAGGCCTGGTAGTCGAAGGCGCTGATGCTGTGTGCCGTCATGCTGGCGCCCTCCCCACACGCCACACACGATGGCGCCCTGCTGCGCAGCTTCACCTGGTCGTCGCAGAGGGGGGCACAGGGGAGCAGAGGGGGGCACAGGGAAGCAGAGGGGGGCACAGGGAAGCAGAGGGGCAGCAGCGGTGGCAGAGGGAAGGGCGCATGGCGTGAGGGCAGAGGTAGAGAGGGTGGGCACAGGCATGGTGGCATTGTGGATGGTGATGAGAGCATAGGACGCGTGGATGTCAATGCGGCATGCATGCATGTACAAGGGAAGAGATGGGCCTATATTGAACTTAACCTTGTTTGTGTCTTGTATTGGTGGGAGGGGCATGCATGGGTGGGAGGGGCATGCATGGGTGGGAGGGGCATGCATGGGTGGGAAGGACATGCATGGGTGTGAGCGACATGCATGGGTGGGCAGGGCATGCATGGGTGGGCAGGGCATGCATGGGTGGGCAGGGCAGGGGGGCGAGCGGACGTTGAGGAAGGAGGCGGCGAGGGCGTCGTAGACGAGCATGCGCGCTGACAGGGGCGACCCCACGCCCGCCACCACCTTCACCGCCTCCACTGCCTGCAACACGCCTATCACCCCCGGCACTGCCACACGCGAGCGAGCAGATGAGATCAGGGGGGCGGGGAGATGGGGTGCATGGGAACAAGAGTGAAGCCATGGGTATAAAAAGGTGGGGAGAGAAATACGGAGAGAGAAGCGGGGCAGGCAGGGCAAGCAGAGGGGTGCGCACAATGGCATGCACATAAGGGCTCCAATCACGGGAACAGTTCATGTTGGCTATTCGTGGGTGTGGGGCAAGTGGGCCAGTGCTGCTGCTCCATGTTGCTCCATTGTTTCCACCATCTCCCTCCCAGCACATGCGCCGCACACCTCCTCCCCTCATACACATGGCCAACCAACCGAATGACAAGACAACCTCGCCTACTAGTGACTCGGATCCTCGTGCGACCAGGCAACTCAGAGCCAGCTCGTGATGGCAGCTAGCGCTTGAGAGGCTTTGGTTTGCGCATTGCTCTCCAATTGGGTTGAAATTATCTCAGAATGCAGGATAGGAAGAAAAACACCGTGACCCTGCACCCCTCACCTGCGCCCATCCCTCACCTGCGCCCATCCCTCACCTGCGCCCATCCCTCACCTGCGCCCATCCCTCACCTGCGCCCATCCCTCACCTGCGCCCATCCCTCACCTGCGCCCATCCCTCACCTGCGCCCATCCCTCACCTGCGCCCATCCCTCACCTGCGCCCATCCCTCACCTGCGCCCATCCCTCACCTGCGCCCATCCCTCACCTGTTCCCATCCCTCACCTGCTCCCATCCCTCACCTGCTCCCATCCCTCACCTGCTCCCATCCCTCACCTGCTCCCATCCCTCACCTGCTCCCATCCCTCACCTGCGCCCATCCCTCACCTGCGCCCATCCCTCACCTGCGCCCATCCCTCACCTGCGCCCATCCCTCACCTGCGCCCATCCCTCACCTGCGCCCATCCCTCACCTGCGCCCATCCCTCACCTGCGCCCATCCCTCACCTGCGCCCATCCCTCACCTGTTCCCATCCCTCACCTGCTCCCATCCCTCACCTGCTCCCATCCCTCACCTGCTCCCATCCCTCACCTGCTCCCATCCCTCACCTGCTCCCATCCCTCACCTGCTCCCATCCCTCACCTGCTCCCATCCCTCACCTGCTCCCATCCCTCACCTGCGCCCATCCCTCACCTGCGCCCATCCCTCACCTGCGCCCATCCCTCACCTGCTCCCATCCCTCACCTGCTCCCATCCCTCACCTGCTCCCATCCCTCACCTGCTCCCATCCCTCACCTGCTCCCATCCCTCACCTGCTCCCATCCCTCACCTGCTCCCATCCCTCACCTGCTCCCATCCCTCACCTGCTCCCATCCCTCACCTGCGCCCATCCCTCACCTGCGCCCATCCCTCACCTGCGCCCATCCCTCACCTGCTCCCATCCCTCACCTGCGCCCATCCCTCACCTGCTCCCATCCCTCACCTGCGCCCATCCCTCACCTGCGCCCATCCCTCACCTGCGCCCATCCCTCACCTGCGCCCAGCACGCCACTCACCTGCGCCCAGCACGCCACTCACCTGCGCCCAGCACGCCGCTATCGGAGCAGCGCTGGCAGGCGGAGGTGGGAGGCGGCGAGGGGAAGAGGCAGCGGTAGCACGGCGCCGTGGGCGAGGCACAGTACACCGTTATCTGCGGGGAGGAGGGGGGTGAGGGGGGATAGTGGAAGGGGGGGAGCTTGCGAGGTGGGAAATAGGCCGGACTGCAGTGGCATGGAGTGCAGCATGCGGCACGGTGCAGTGGTAGCAGGGAGCAACGGGGGAGGGGGGGCGTGTGGGGGGAACGGGAAAGAGGAGGTGCGGGAAGAGAGAATAGATGAAAAGAGTTAGGAGAGAAACAGGGAGAGAAAGAGTTTGTCCATCTGGCTGTTACGAACGGTGAGGCGGCAAGGAGGTAAGGCTGGGAAGAAACAATGGGGCAGCCTCAGAGTGCGCTGCTGCTCTCCACCCACGCGTGCCCCCAACCCACACCTCCCACACTCCCGCCTTCACCCCGCCTTCCTAACCGCACCGCTCACCCAAGCCCTCCTGCCAGCCCCCTTGGCAGCCCCGCTTGCAGCCCCCCTGACAGCCCTCTCGTCCGCCCCACCTCTCCATGCCCCCATCCCCCATCCCTTACCCTCCTCCAAACCAAACCCATCCACCTCCCCGCACCACCTGCCCTTGTGCGCCTCACCTGCCCTTCCGTGCCCAGCGCTGCTCCTGACACGAGCGGCTGCACCAAGGCACAGGGGGGGGGAGGAGAGAGGTGAGGCACGCACACAGGGCGAGCGGCAAGGGGTTGCGAAGACGGTGACAGTGTAAACATGAACACACATCAAGTCGACCTATGGCAACTCAGATGTCCAGTTGAAGGAAGATGGAAAGAACATGGAACAGCAGTGCGTGCGTCACTCACTTCATCCTACCTGCTCTCGCCTTTCATGCCTGTGCCAGCTACCACTTCCAAGTTGAACATCAGGTGATTCACTGGAATGCTGCACTCTCCCACTGCACTGCGCTCACCCGTGTGCCGTCGGTCGCACCTTGCGGGCGGCGACAGCAGCGTCGCTGGCGAGGTAGCGCGTGGCCACGTTGTCAGACGCGTCCACCAGCACATCGTACCTGATGGGGGGGGGTGGCGGATGGGAGGGGGATGGGGGACGGTGGGGCAGGGCGGTGATGGGGGAGATGGGGGTGATGAGGACGGATGAGGGAGGTATGAGGGCGGGAGGAGGGAAGTATAGGAGGTATGGAGGATGGAGGGAGGGGGGATGTGGGACATTGTGTGCGGCTGAGCAGGTGTGGGCGAGATGGAATGAGGGAATGACGCATTCAGATGCTGCTTCACACGACATGCAGAGGTGCGGGCAGCAGGAAGGTCAGAACGCGAGGGAGAACAAGAAGAGGGAGGGAGAGAGGGAGGGAGGGAGGGAGGGAGGGAGGGGAGGGAGGGAGGGAGGGAGGGAGGGAGGGAGGGAGGGAGGGAGGGAGGGAGGGAGGGAGGGAGGGAGGGAGGGAGGGAGGGAGGGAGGGAGGGAGGGAGGGAAGTGGGAGCAAAGGCTGGACGAGGGAGTGTGAATCAGCAAGTGGTGTGTTGGTGATGCATGCGGGGCAGTGGGGCGGGGTGAGAGGCATGGCGGGGAGAGGCATGGCGGGGAGAGGCATGGCGGGGAGAGGCATGGCGGGGAGAGGCATGGCGGGGAGAGGCATGCAGTGGCGGGGAGAGGCATGGCGGGGAGAGGCATGGCGGGGAGAGGCATGGCGGGAAGAGGCCATGGCGGGGAGAGGCATGGCGGGGAGAGGCATGGCGGGGAGAGGCATGGCGGGGAGAGGCATGGCGGGGAGAGGCATGTCGGGGAGAGGCATGGCGGGGAGAGGCATGGCGGGGAGAGGCATGGCGGGGAGAGGCATGGCGGGGAGAGGCATGGCGGGGAGAGGCATGGCGGGGAGAGGCATGGCGGGGAGAGGCATGGCGGGGAGAGGCATGGCGGGGAGAGGCATGGCGGGGAGAGGCATGGCGGGGAGAGGCATGGCGGGGAGAGGCATGGCGGGGAGAGGCATGGCGGGGAGAGGCATGGCGGGAGAGGCATGGCGGGGAGAGGCAATGGCGGGGAGAGGCATGGCGGGGAGAGGCATGGCGGGGAGAGGCATGGCGGGGAGAGGCATGGCGGGGAGAGGCATGGCGGGGAGAGGCATGGCGGGGAGAGGCATGGCGGGGAGAGGCATGGCGGGAGAGGCATGGCGGGGAGAGGCATGGCGGGGAGAGGCATGGCGGGGAGAGGCATGGCGGGGAGAGGCATGGCGGGGAGAGGCATGGCGGGGAGAGGCATGGCGGGGAGAGGCATGGCGGGGAGAGGCATGGCGGGGAGAGGCATGGCGGGGAGAGGCATGGCGGGGAGAGGCATGGCGGGAGAGGCATGGCGGGGAGAGGCATGGCGGGGAGAGGCATGGCGGGGAGTAGGCATGGCGGGGAGAGCATGGCGGGAGAGGCATGGCGGGGAGAGGCATGGCGGGGAGAGGCATGGCGGGGAGAGGCATGGCGGGGAGAGGCATGGCGGGGAGAGGCATGGCGGGGAGAGGCATGGCGGGGAGAGGCATGGCGGGGAGAGGCATGGCGGGGAGAGGCATGGCGGGGAGAGGCATGGCGGGGAGAGGCATGGCGGGGAGAGGCATGGCGGGGAGAGGCATGGCGGGGAGAGGCATGGCGGGGAGAGGCATGGCGGGGAGAGGCATGGCGGGGAGAGGCATGGCGGGGAGAGGCATGGCGGGGAGAGGCATGGCGGGGAGAGGCATGGCGGGGAGAGGCATGGCGGGGAGAGGCATGGCGGGGAGAGGCATGGCGGGGAGAGGCATGGCGGGGAGAGGCATGGCGGGGAGAGGCATGGCGGGGAGAGGCATGGCGGGGAGAGGCATGGCGGGGAGAGGCATGGCGGGGAGAGGCATGGCGGGGAGAGGCATGGCGGGGAGAGGCATGGCGGGGAGAGGCATGGCGGGGAGAGGCATGGCGGGGAGAGGCATGGCGGGGAGAGGCATGGCGGGGAGAGGCATGGCGGGGAGAGGCATGGCGGGGAGAGGCATGGCGGGGAGAGGCATGGCGGGGAGAGGCATGGCGGGGAGAGGCATGGCGGGGAGAGGCATGGCGGGGAGAGGCATGGCGGGGAGAGGCATGGCGGGGAGAGGCATGGCGGGGAGAGGCATGGCGGGGAGAGGCATGGCGGGGAGAGGCATGGCGGGGAGAGGCATGGCGGGGAGAGGCATGGCGGGGAGAGGCATGGCGGGGAGAGGCATGGCGGGGAGAGGCATGGCGGGGAGAGGCATGGCGGGGAGAGGCATGCGGGGAGAGGCATGGCGGGGAGAGGCATGGCGGGGAGAGGCATGGCGGGGAGAGGCATGGCGGGGAGAGGCATGGCGGGGAGAGGCATGGCGGGGAGAGGCATGGCGGGGAGAGGCATGGCGGGGAGAGGCATGGCGGGGAGAGGCATGGCGGGGAGAGGCATGGCGGGGAGAGGCATGGCGGGGAGAGGCATGGCGGGGAGAGGCATGGCGGGGAGAGGCATGGCGGGGAGAGGCATGGCGGGGAGAGGCATGGCGGGGAGAGGCATGGCGGGGAGAGGCCCATGGCGGGGAGAGGCATGGCGGGGAGAGGCATGGCGGGGAGAGGCATGGCGGGGAGAGGCATGGCGGGGAGAGGCATGGCGGGGAGAGGCATGGCGGGGAGAGGCATGGCGGGGAGAGGCATGGCGGGGAGAGGCATGGCGGGGAGAGGCATGGCTGGGGAGAGGCATGGCGGGGGAGAGGCATGGCGGGGAGAGGCATGGCGGGGAGAGGCATGGCGGGAGAGGCATGGCGGGGAGAGGCATGGCGGGGAGAGGCATGGCGGGGAGAGGCATGGCGGGGAGAGGCATGGCGGGGAGAGGCATGGCGGGGAGAGGCATGGCGGGGAGAGGCATGGCGGGGAGAGGCATGGCGGGGAGAGGCATGGCGGGGAGAGGCATGGCGGGGAGAGGCATGGCGGGGAGAGGCATGGCGGGGAGAGGCCATGGCGGGGGAGAGGCATGGCGGGGAGAGGCATGGCGGGGAGAGGCATGGCGGGGAGAGGCATGGCGGGGAGAGGCATGGCGGGGAGAGGCATGGCGGGGAGAGGCATGGCGGGGAGAGGCATGGCGGGGAGAGGCATGGCGGGGAGAGGCATGGCGGGGAGAGGCATGGCGGGGAGAGGCATGGCGGGGAGAGGCATGGCGGGGGAGAGGCATGGCGGGGAGAGGCATGGCGGGGAGAGGCATGGCGGGGAGAGGCATGGCGGGGAGAGGCATGGCGGGGAGAGGCATGGCGGGGAGAGGCATGGCGGGGAGAGGCATGGCGGGGAGAGGCATGGCGGGGAGAGGCATGGCGGGGAGAGGCATGGCGGGGAGAGGCATGGCGGGGAGAGGCATTGCGGGGAGAGGCATGGCGGGGAGAGGCATGGCGGGGAGAGGCATTGCGGGGAGGCATGGGGAGAGGCATGGCGGGGAGAGGCATGGCGGGGAGAGGCATGGCGGGGAGAGGCATGGCGGGGAGAGGCATGGCGGGGAGAGGCATGGCGGGAGAGGCATGGGGGAGAGGGGATACCTGGAAACGAGGTGGACAGCATTGGCGGGTGTGAAGCCGTGGCTGTGCGTCTCCACTGTGATGTCCGAATTCAACCTGCTCCCCCATGCATGCATCCATGCACCCACCCATCCACCCACACACCCACCCACGCACCGAGACACACACACACAACAACGCACGCGCCACATGCTCTCATGCACAGCTGTGATGGAAGGCTGCCATGGCTGCCTCAGAAGAGACGAGGCCCAACCCGTGCCCCGTGCCCCATGTTGTGCCACGCTCAGTGGGCGGGTCATCATTGTGCTCTCCACTCACTTGCCAGACACACAACAAATTTTCAAGCTGCCACCTGCTCCCAGCACATCACCTGGTGCCAGCTCAGCCTTACCTGGTGCCAGCTCAGCATCACCTTGTGCCAGCTCAGCATCACCTTATGCAGGCAGCAGCAGCGGACTCTGTCTTGGGGCGACCCACCGCCGCCTCCGAGTGGATGATCTGCGCGCCTCACCCACAGACAGACAGGCAGACAGGCAGGCGGGCAGGCAGGCAGGCGGGCGGGCGGGCGGGCGGCCGGGCAGGCAGGCAGGCAGGGAGGGCATTGGAGGCCGCATGGGGCACGGTTGATGGGAGAAGGGGTGAGTGGAGGCATGAAACGGGTGTGAGAGCACAGGGAAGCGCCATGGCAAGCATGTATTTGACGCACAGCAACTGTGAAGGAGCGAAACGGCTTTCTGCCTGTTCTTATCATCTCACCTGTCTGTGCGTTTCATATTACCTGTCTGTGCGTTTCATCTCACCCGTCTGTGCGTTTCATCTCACCTGTCTGTGCGTTTCATCTCACCTGTCGGTGCGTTTCATGTCACCTGTCGGTGCGTTTCATCTCACCTGTCTGTGCGTTTCATCTCACCTGTCTGTGCGTTTCATCTCACCTGTCTGTGCGTTTCATCTCACCTGTCTGTGCGTTTCATCTCACCTGTCTGTGCGTTTCATCTCACCTGTCTGTGCAGGTTGGACAGCTCCACGTCATCCCTGTCCACGATGCCTATGCGCCCTGCATGCCATGCCATTCCGTGCCATGCCACAACAAAACACGCAACGGGCGAGCAGCAATGCGGGTGGAATGGCATGTGGGATGCATGAGAACACAGCGTGTTACACTGGGAGTGAGGAAGAGAGGAGAGAAGGAAGGGTGAGCACGTTAGTCCACAGGCATGGAGCGCCGCGGCCCACTCGTCGTCCTCCAAACCAACCAGCACCATAACATGGTGCCGCCCGCAGCAACCATCAACATCCACGTCACACTCACCCACTGCCCCCACTACCCGCCCGCACTGTCCCCCCACTCGCCCTGCCCCACTGCCCTCACCACCCTCACTGCCCCCACCCCTCGCCCCCCCGCACGCACCCACGCCGCACGCCGCGAGGTAGAGTGCAGCCGGCGACCCCAGCCCGCCCGCGCCCACCACCAGCACTGACCCGCGCCTCAGCCGCTGCTGCGCTGGTGGGGGGAGGGGGGAGGGGGGGGAGGGATTCGGGTTGGGGATAGGGAAGGGAGGGGAGCGGCAGAGGGTAGAGAAATGGTGGTCGGAAGAATGTTAGAGCAGAGGCAGTGAGAGGCGGTGAGAGGCAGTGAGAGGCAGTGAGAGGCGGTGAGAGGCAGTGAGAGGCAGTGAGAGGCGGTGAGAGGCAGTGAGAGGCAGTGAGAGGCGGTGAGAGGCAGTGAGAGGCAGTGAGAGGCAGTGAGAGGCAGTGAGAGGCGGTGAGAGGCAGTGAGAGGCAGTGAGAGGCGGTGAGAGGCAGTGAGAGGCGGTGAGAGGCAGTGAGAGGCGGTGAGAGGCGGTGAGAGGCAGTGAGAGGCAGTGAGAGGCGGTGAGAGGCAGTGTGACCTGCCACGCGGCACACCTGCGACGCCGAACGACGGCAGCATGAGCTGCCGCGAGTAGCGCTGCACCTCCCGCGCGCTCAACGCATGCTCCGCCTCGAAGCTGCGCCCCTCCTCGCCCGCCCCGCCACCCGCTTCTGCTCCCGCTCCCTCAAATCCTGCGTTCCCCCTTGGTAGCCCGCCATCGACTCTATCCCCGCCATTCCCCCCCTCCACCGCCCCAATCGCGGGGCCGTCACCAGTCAGCGAGCGCGCATTCGATTCCGCTCCGCTCGCGCTCTCCACTCCGCCGCTGCGCTTCCCTCCGCCCGCTTGCCCGCACTCCGCTTCTCGGGTCTCCTGCTTCCGCTTTCCGTCATCACCCCCTTCTCTCCGTCTCTCCCCCTCCGTCTCTCGCCCCTCGCCTAATCTCAACCGTCGATCTTCCTCATCCAACGCCCGCAACGCCTGCAGCAGCTCCTGCCGGCGCGCTTGCACCGCTCTCAGCGCGGCCACTCGCTCGCCCCCGATCGCGCCGTCTGAGTCGTCGCCCTGCATTGCTCGCCGCTGTCGTGGTGGCTGGTAACCGTGTGTCGCTGATTGTTCACCAAAACAATAGGCGAGTGAGTGGAAAAGCGGGGGTGAGGGTTTTGTTGCTGGTTTAGGGCGCGGGCGCTCCACAGATGGTTTCCGGGTTACCATGAATGTAACAGATTTAGTTTTGAGGACGACGCTTTAGTTGTGGAGGGATGCGACGATTGAATGGCCCAATGTGGAATCCGATCGAGTCGAGGCCCACGCCGATCGTGATGTGTGCTGACGAGCACGACACCCCACGGCGAGGTGTCGAAATGTGGATGGCGGGATTCTGGCGAAACTCCAAAATAAGCTAGAAAATGATACTCGGTTATGTCGCGAACATTACTTGTATCGGCAAAGTGGCAAATGAGTACTGTTGTTTCGTGGCGCTGCGCTCCTTGCATTACAACGGTTATTACAACCTGTAACCACTTGTTTCCTAAGCCCGCGGGAACGCAAATGTTCCGCGCCCTGATTGATCACCCTTGACCATGCGCACGTTCAGTGATCAGTGATCGCGCGCAGTATTGCCTGACCGCTACTTGTACCACACCTGAGTGAAGGTGCTAAGCAGCAGAGCCGTGTTACGCGGTAGACGCAGCACCGTGCTCTCATCCATCCCGTTCCGTCGCTCGCGCGCGTTTCGGCCACTCGCCTTCCGCCTCGCCTCGCCTCGCCTGACTTGCCCCGCCATGGATGCGGCGACGGTCGTGCTCTTGTCGCAGACGGACCACCACCTGTTCGAGGTGGCGCACCCGCGCCTCGACGTCTTCGACTCGCCGCGCTGCACGCGCCTCGCCACGCAGGCATGGACGGGCCGGCGACTCGTCGCTCTCGCCGCCGCCTCAATTGAACCCCGCCTTCGCGATCCGGAAATCGCTGCCGTTCACTTCGGCTCTCACGAGGCGCAGCGGCCGTTAGGGTCCGACGTGGCACGGGGCGCCATTCCGATCCGGCTGTGCGAGGACGCGTATCCCGGGTGGATATCGGCTGCTGACGTGGCTCAAGGCGCCATCCGTCGCCTATCCATTGGCTTAGAGAGTGCAACGCGAGAGGCAGGCGATGCGGGGGATAGGGACAGGCGGAAGGGCGGAGGAGGGGAGTGTGAAGGCGGAGGCATGGCAGAGAATGGGGGCATGGGGGTGGGCGTGGGGGAAGAGGCGGACTTGGCGGGAGAGAGAGAGGCGGCGGTTGCATTCGCGGAGGCGGCGAGGGCGGAGGGCGATCGGTACCTGTGGGGCGGCACCACGGGGCCGCACTTCGACTGCAGCGGCCTCGGTGCGTTCCCCTCGCCTCAATGTGCCGGCCCTCGCCCACGGCGCAGCACGCAGAGATGTTGGGTGCATGTGTAGCGGTGGGACAGCGCAGGCAGTGCGGGACATGGGCGCACAGGGAGGCACCATTGCTCCCCACCCGTGACCCTGCGACTCTGTACCGCGTGATTGTGTAACCCGCGTACAATCGGAGGCGGGTGCAGTGGAACGTGGGGATCTGGAGGCACGGCTGTAGCGCACTGTGCATTTAGTGGTGGATGTGGCAATTATGTATTGATGCACACGCACTGTAGGGGAGTGGGTGAGCTGGAGTGCGTGCGAGGTGAATGCGTGCTGACCGCCCTCATTCGTCCTCCATTGCCTCTGCCCCGCGCCTGTGTGTATTCGAGAGCCAATGCCGCACCTGCGTCTCCTGTGCGTGCTGCCCTTCCCTGCCCTGGCCTGTTCTGCCCTGCTCTGTTAAGCTGCAGCTGTGCTGTGCGCTGTTGCGTGCCACTGGTTGCACCAAGTTCTATTTCTCCGTCACTTGACTTTCTCCTCATCGTCCTCTTTGTGATCTCCCTTTCGTGCATGCACTGTGGCATGCTGGGTGCTGTGGCATGTGGTGTGCATGCGTGCAGTGCAGCGAGCGTATGCATCTACCGGAGTGTGGGTGCCTCGAGATGCCTTCCAGCAGGTCAGTGCGTGTGGTGCGTGTGCTACCCACTCCACTCACTGGAAGGCACTGCTTCAGGGCCCTTGAGCGCCACCTTGCTCAACTGCTGCACTGCCTGCTTCGCACACCCCTCCCTGCTCTCACACCCCTCCCTGCTCTCACACCCCTCCCTGTTCTCACACCCCTCCCTGTTCTCACACCCCTCCCTGCTCTCACCTCGCTCTGCGCTCACCTCTCTCTACTCTCACCTCTCCCTGCCGTCACGACTGTCTGTTCTCACCCGCCTCTCCGCTCTGCAGGAGGCTTTCTGTCAGCCAGTCAGTGTGGATCGCATCGCTAGAGGCGATCTGGTAAGCCACCCCACCACCCCCTGCCTGTTCTTGAGCCTCTCACCTCACCTGTCCGCCTCTGTGCTGCACGCCGCTTCCCACACCCTACCACCTCCCCCTTGCACACCTCCCCCTGCACACCTCCCCCTTGCGCACCTCCCCCTTGCGCACCTCCCCCTTGCGCACCTCCCCCTTGCGCACCTCCCCCTGCACACCTCCCCCTGCGCACCTCCCCCTTGCGCACCTCCCCCTGCACACCTCCCCCTGCGCACCCCCCCCTGCGCACCCCCCCCTGCGCACCTCCCCTTGCGGCGCACCTCACACCGCACAGCACCTCAATCATGCATCGCCACTCTGCTGTCACACCCACTTCCTTGGGGTTTCTGAGTCGACTAAAACATCACCTTTGCCGCCGCTCACATCCCCATGGTGCATGCGTCACTGGCTGGCTGGCAGGTGTTTTTCGGCACCACACGTGCCACACATGTCGGCATCGTCACCTGCACCAAGCACCACCGCCACCCACACCACCACACTCCACCACTCCGTACCAGATCCAGCCCCTCCCACACACGTGACAGCATCCCCTCCCACGTGCTTCACAGCAGCCCATCACCCGTGCGGCACATGGTGCAGGTGGCGTTCATGCACAGCTCGGGGCGCGATGACGGGCACGACGGCATCGTCTCTGACTGCCTGCGCCTGCTGCTGCTCTGCCCTCCGCTTTGCGCTCAACTGACTTGTGGCGACGCGCGTGTGTTGAGGGAGCATGCCCATGGCTCGGGTGACGCGTGTGTGTGCTGCCTTGGTGCGAGCAGCAAGGAGGGGTTGGGAGAGGAGCAAGAGTGCATGAGTGTAGAGGGAGGCAGCAGGGCGTGTGGGGCAGGCGAGGCAGGGGAGTGGAAGGTGGTGACGCGGTTGCACGTGGGCAGCAGGGAGGTGGGGGAGCAGGGGGGGGTGGGGGAGCAGAGGGAGGTGGGGGAGCAGGGGGGGGTGGGGGAGCAGGGGGGGGTGGGGGAGCAGAGGGAGGTGGGGGAGCAGGGGGAGGTGGGGGAGCAGGGGGAGGTGGGGGAGCAGGGGGAGGTAGGGGAGCAGGGGGAGGTGGGGGAGCAGGGGGAGGTGGGGGAGCAGGGGGAGGTGGGGGAGCAGGGGGGGGATGCCAGTATCCAGGCCGCCGTGGAGGGCGGGCAGGGGCACAGGTGGGAGGGAGGGATGACGCTGGTGCCAACGCACACTGCAGGCAGTGAGGACGCGGTTTTGGCAGAGGGAGGGGAGGGCGCAGCAGAGTGGGGGAAGGGCGTGGAGGTGCATGCGCGGGGCAGGGTGGCGGCGCACTATGGCGCCCAGCTGAGAGGCTTCGGGCGCGTGCTGCACGCCCTGCCACCGTCGCTTGCTCACATCCCCCCCCACCTCGTGCTGCCCCTTCAGGTGTAGCATAGCACCCCCGTGACTCCATGTGGCGGGGGATGGGATGTTCCCGTCGTTGCCGCCTTCCTTACTGGGGTTGGTTTGGCAGCATGGACCCCAGCAGCTGCTCTCCTATGGGTTACTGGTTCCTCAATCACTAGCAACTGTTGCTTTGATTCATTCATTATTGTAGCTACCGCTACCCTACTTAACCTAATCCACTTGTGGCTGACGGATACAAGTCATGCAAGGAATGCAGTGTTTCCAGAAGCCGAGTGAAAGATTCTTCTCAGAAATTCCCTTCCTCTGCTGTTTCGATGCAAAACAGTATGCACACTTGCATTGCATCCGCCCTTGCGGCCGTATGTAGCCCACCACCACCATGTGCTCAGTGTGCACACCGAGGCATGTCGTGACCACTTGGGACGGTAGCTACAGTGGAGACAGGCCGGCCTGCTCTGAATCCAACTCCATGATCACTCCGCTCCAACATCACGCCTCCTCCCTTCGCCTCTGCTCCCCCTGGCCTCCCTCCATCTCCCACCCACACTGCACCGCATCCCCTCATCCCCTCATCCCCACATCACCACCCACTGCGCCTCCCCTTCTTCTTGGCGCCTCCCCTCCTCACCCCCACACCCCCCTGCGCACCCGCACCCCCCGCACCCCCGGCCACAAGGTGCTTGTGGGCGCGCCACTGCCCCGCCACCTTGAGCGCCCTGGGGTCCACAAACCCCAGCGCCGCCACCGACCGCTGCCGCCGCCCAAACAGCACCCCGTGCCGAAAGCTCTGGGCGGCGCGCATGATGGCCCGTGCTGCCTCCTCGCCCTCTGGCGCCGGCGCGCCTGCCTGGATCACTATGGCCCCGTCCGACCTGCTCCGCAGCCAGGTGGAGAAGAGGGGGATGAGCGGGAGGGGGGATGGGGAGTGCAATGAGAGGGTTGTGCAGAGGAGAAAGGGGTTGGGGCAATGCAGCAGGTGTCTTTGCTTGGACCACTACAGTGCTGTGGGTAGTGCAGTATGCGCGATGGAGAGGGCGCAGGTGGGGGCGGTGGGTTGACTGGGGCTATGGGAGGAAGAGAGGCAGCGAATGGCATGTGGTGGAAAGGGCAAGATGACCGACTGAGAAAAAGCGATCCGGGCTGGCCATGTGGGCGCGCGAGGGGATGTGGAAGAGTGCGGTGAGGACAAGTGGAAGATCACACCACTCTAGGAGAGCAGTGCTGCCTGCCACAGCACCCACTGCCTGCCACAGCACCCACTGCCTGCCACAGCACCCACTGCCTACCACAGCACCCACTGCCTACCACAGCACCCACCGCGTGCCGATGACAGCCGATGTGTGGCTCTCCTTCCCCCGGCTGCCGCCCCGCCCCGCCCGCTGCTTCTTCTCCCTCACTGCCGCCCGCTCCCTCTCCTCCTGCGCCTCTGTGAACCTGCAGCGTGGGGGAAAAGGTTGGAGGGTTGGGAAGGGTGACGTTAGAGTGAAGAGAGGAAGGTGAGCAAAGGCAGCATGGGGTGTGGGTAAAGACGATATCATAGCGTTTTTCACCGCCATCACCGATCCAAGGAATATAGATCCCCCTATCCCTTACGCCCCCCCTACTCCCCCGTCCCATTCCCTATCTTCCAGAGCACCCCCATACTGTGCGCGCACCTGGTGTGCTGGCGCCGTGTGACGGCAGCAATCACGTCCGCGGGAAGCAAGTCGCCCCCCTCCACCGCGCCCTCCCCCAACGCCCCTCCCTCCCCCTCCCCTGCTCCCGCACCGCCCTCCGTCCCCTCCTCCCGAGCACCGTCCCTTGCCTCTGCGGGTACCAACGACCCCGCCGCCTCGTCTCCCCCCTCCGCCGCCCCCTTCCGCCGCGTGCGCCTATCCGCGCGTCCCTCCAGCTCGCGCCTGCGCTTCGCCTTCCCCCCCGCATCCTTGCTCCGCCGCTCCTCGCCGTCTCCCTCTTCCCCTCCCTCCCCCTCCTCTCCCTTCGCTGCCAAGCCTGCTCGCTTTTGCCGAACCTTTCTGTCAGCCTCGGCAACCCTGCAGGGTGGGGCGGCGGGTAGAGGATCGGGATGAGCGACGCAACGGCGGGGGGCATATCGGCGGAGGAAAAAGCTCAAATGAAAGACGCGGCTAATTGCAACCAGTGGGGGCATGCCACGTCACTCCACAACGTGGTGTGTACTCACATGCGGCGGGCTTCCGCCTCCTGCTGGCGCTGCTGCGAAACCCGTTCGCGTCCCTGGTAGCGCGGGGAGAGGAGAGGTACAGAGAGGGGTTAGGGTTTGAGGATTCTACTCAACGATGCGCCAATCTATTCAGACGCAGTGGAGCGACGAGAGAAAAAGGCGAAACGCAGCGATGGGCAGGGGAGAGACGGCGACTGTGGGCGGGCACCTGCGACAGAGTGAACTCCTCGGGCGCATCGTCCGAATCGCTATCGTCATCCTCGTTATCGTCTTCTCCCGCCATTTCTCCCTTTACAGCACCAAATTCAATCGCAGCCGCCCGTTCATGCCCTAACTCGTCATTGCTCTCCTCGTCCCCTGAACCCCCTTCCTCCGCTGTCCCTCCCCTCTCCGCCCCTTCCTCCTCCGCCCCTTCCTCCTCCGCCCCTTCCTCCTCCGCCCCTTCCTCCTCCGCCCCTTCCTCCTCCGCCCCCTCCTCCTCCGCCCCTTCCTCCTGCGGTCTTCTCTCCTCGTCCTCCTCGCGGCACTCGCCGAGCGCCGTCACTGCATCGCCATCGCGCTCCTCCTCGTCGGATACGTACTCAGGTCGCCCCATCACTACCCCACACGATAGCAGCGCCTAGAGCGAAGTCCGTAAATGCTCCTTGTATCTGGCCTGCCGTCGTCTGTGCCGCCACACGTTCTCGTGACATAAAATAAACGCATCAATCACACAGTTAGGGTCAAACCCTCGTAGTTTGGGCCTGGGTCCACTTCACGCCTTCTCTGTACCCGTCTGGAATACGGCTCGGTAAGGTGAGCTATGGTATCATACCCTCATATACTAATAGATAGGTACATTACCCAAGAGTACATCTTATTTTGTATAGTTTGATCTTCCACACACTTCAAACAACACCATCGTTTCAAGCGTTGGAAGAAGCCTACAGAACAGAATTTATGTTACGAGCATGACGAAGAACATGTTACACAATGCAGTAATGTTACGAGCCAAGCCATGCTCGCAAGCCATGCAATCCAACACGAGCCCCGTTGTTCCAAGCTGCGGGATCTTACCTGCAGGGTCTGAGTCTCGAGCATTGGATTGTCTCGGCGTGTGGGAAAGTGAAGGGAAATTAGAGGAACACAGAAGAATGAGAAGTGGGGCAGACGTACGTATGGGGAGGGAATGACAGGGACGTATGGGAAGGAAGGGACATGGAAGAATAGGAAGAACGCGACAGGGACATGGAGGGTGAAGAGGTGGGGGGAGGAGTGTGGCATGGAGGGAATGTAGCAGGCAGAACAGGGCAGCAGGGAGTAGGAGATGAGGTAAGGGCCTGCACAAAGGAAATCATGGGAGCCAATCTGAATGCCTGCTCAAGATAGCACACTACACAGTGGAGAATCTATTAGTCGGGAGTTTGATGATAAAAGCAGTGTAGACACTGCACTCCGCTCCGAATTGCTGCTGCCACCACCGCTTCTGCGGCTACTGCAGATGTTGCCAACCAAGATACACTGCTAATGGTCTCTTCCGATTTGCTGCACTTGTCCACCACCACATCCCGCAGCCGAGGCAGCTCAAGCAACGACCGGGGGAGTGATTTCAAGCTACTCAAGCGTGTGAGTGTGAGCTCCGTGAAGCATTCGATGCGCGCGGCGGTGTCGAACATGGTTCGGAAGTGGAACTTGATCAGCTCGGGATGCTTGGCGCCTAGGGCGGAGAGGAAACCCTCGGGAATAGGCGTTAGGCTGCGATCCGACAGGATGAGTTCTGTGAGCTTCGGGAATGCCGAGAGCTCGGAGAGCAGTCGGCGCGCGTCCATGCGACGGTCGGCGCGCAGCTGAACGGCATCCTGCGCGCGACACGCCGCGTCGCACCACTTCTTGAACACTAGCGCGTGCTGGAACCTGCCGAGTGCAGAGGCTAGATGGAGGATTCTCGCAAGCAAATGGTCTGAGAGCCGTTGGATCGGGGAGTCGTCCGTCATAGCGAGGGAGCTACGGCGAGTGAACGGCATGGTGGGTACCTCTGAGGAGCAATCGTTACTAATGAGGAGCAGGAAGCGAGCTGGTCCGTCATTGCCAGCCCTCCCAGTGAAAGTACAGCGGGGAATAGCAAAGGCAAACCTTATATGGTATGTCAAACATTGTATATGTTTGTGTTCTGTAGGCTATAGTGGGTTTAGCCTTAGGGGGTACAGTTTCTAGGTTTTCCTACTTGTACTCCCAATGTTGCTAGTTCAAACACTTCTCTCATTCTGACATGGTATCACGAGCCTAGGTTAGGAACCTAGGACCGAACGTTCCTAAGGGCCCACCACTGCTACTACTGCCTACTACCTGTGCGCCCTCGTGCGCTTACTGCCTGCGCCCTTGTGCGCCCTGTTGCTAGTTGCGCGCTGCCCACTAGCCTCGCACGCAGCCCCTCGCGGCCCCGTGCAGCCCCGTGTGCCGCCCGCCTGCCTACCCGCGCCCTCGAGCGCCTGCCTACCCGCGCCCTCGAGCGCCTGCCTACTCGCGCCCTTGAGCGCCTGCCTACCCGCGCCCTCGAGCGCCACCCTGCCGCCCTGCCCTGCAGGCCGCGCGCGGGCCTGCTCTGCACCCGCGCAGCCGCCCCTGGACCCCGCGGCGCGGCCCCTGGAGCATGCGACGCGTCGCCCTGCTCGTCGCGACGCCTCTGCGGGACCCGGGCGTCGCCCCTGCCTCGTCGCGACGCCCCTATGGGACCCGCGCGTCGCCCCTGCCTCGTCGCGACGCCCCTGCGGGACCCGCGCGTCGCTCCTGCCTCGTCGCGACGCCCCTGCGGGACCCGCGCGTCGCCCCCGCCTCGTCGCGGCGCCTCTGCGGGACCCGCGCGTCGCCCCTGCCTTGTCGCGACGCCCCTGCGGGACCCGCGCGGAGTCGCCCCTGCCCGCCGCGGCGCCCTGCCCTACCCCGCGCCCGCCCATGGGACGGCCGCCCCTGGCCCCTGGAGCAGCCGCCCCTGCAGAAGCCGCCCCTGGCCCCTGGAGCAGCCGCCACTGCAGCAGCCGCCCCTGGCCCCTGGAGCAGCCGCACCTGCAGCCGCCCCTGGCCCCTGGAGCAGCCGCCCCTGCAGCAGCCGCCCCTGGCCACCTGGAGCAGCCGCCACTGCAGGAGCCGCCCCTGGCCCCTGGAGCAGCCGCCCCTGCAGCAGCCGCCCCTGGCCCCTGGAGCAGCTGCCGTCGCGGCCCGGCCCCGCCCTGCAGCAACTGCCGCGGAGCCTTTAGCCGCAGTCGTGGCCCCGCCCTGCAGCAGTTGCCGGGGAGCTCCCTGCCGCGGACCGGCCCCGCCCTGCAGCTGTAGCGGCCCCGCTGTCGCCGCCGTCTTGCGCCTGCCCTTCCCACCACTGGTGAGCACTGCCCTGCCCGTGCTGCTACCGCTGCTACTGCTGCTACTGCTTTTACTGCTCCTACTGCTACTGCTCCTGCTGCTACTGCTGTTACTGCCGCTACTGCTACTACTGCTGCTCCTGGCGTGGCCAGATGCAGCTCCAGGGCCGTCCGCGTGAGTCCCTCACGCCCCAGCAGCTTCGTGAGTGGTACGCTAGTTGGGGTTGTCGGGGTGGCCGTCGTGGGAGTCGCTCTGGAGTGGGTAGTTCGGGAGCTTCTGGTAGTGGCCAGGTGCAGCTGCAGCGTCGTCCCCGCGAGGCTCTTTCGCCCCAGCAGCTTCGTGAGTGGTACGCTAGTTGGGGTTGTCGGGGTGGCCGTAGTGGGAACCTGTGTGTGCCGCCTGACCCCCTCTGTGTGCCGCCTGACCCCGGTATCCAGTCTGCTGCTCTAGGTACTGGTGAGGCTGCTGCTCTAGGTACTAGTGAGTCTGCGCCTGCTGGTACTGCGTCTACTGAGGCACTGCACACCTTCACACTGGACTCAGGTGCTTCCCGCTGTTTCTTTCGTGACCGCACTGCCCTTGAGCAGCTTGCTCGGCCGGTTGCAGTCTCCCTCGCTGACCCCTCTGGGGGTCCGGTCATTGCGACCTCCTCCACTGTCCTCCCTTGTCCTGCGGTCCCGTCGGGCACACTGTCAGGTCTCTACCTCCCCTCGTTCTCTACGAACTTGGTGGCGGGTCGTGCGCTCCAGGACGGGGGTGTCCACCAGTTCACCCCTGCCTACGAGCGCGTGACACACTGCACATGTGCTCGGACGGGTCGCCACCTGGCTACCTTCACTCGGCAGCCGGGGTCGGACCTGTACACACTGACCACTGAGTCCCCTCAGGTAGCTGCGTCTGCGTCTGCGTCAGGTCAGCTGTCGGCCCCCTACTCGTGTCGCTCCCTGTCGCACGAGACCGTCCTCTGGCACCACCGCCTTGGTCACCCGTCAGTGCAGCGCCTTCGTGGCATGCACTCCCGGTACCTTGTCTCTGGTCTTCCCAGGGTTCTCCCTCCCCTCCCACCCTCGCCTGCTCCTCCCTGTCTTCCTTGTGCCGAGGGGCGGCTGCGCGCCGCTCCTCACTCCTCCTCGTTTCCCCCGACGACTGCTCCCCTGCAGACCCTCCACATGGAAGTGTGGGGCCCAGCCCGCGTCCGTGGACAGGGTCACGAGAGGTACTTCTTGATAGTTGTTGACGACTACTCGCGCTACACCACGGTCTTCCCCTTGCGCACCAAGGGTGAAGTCCCTGATGTTTTGATCCCTTGGATCCGCGCTGCCCATCTCCAGCTCAGCAAGAGGTTCCACTCGGACTTTCCTGTTCTGCGTCTGCACTCTGACAGAGGTGGGGAGTTTTCCTCCGACCTCTTGAGGGACTTTTGTCGTGGGGAGGGCATTGAGCAGTCGTTCACGCTTCCGGCCTCTCCACAGCAGAATGGGGTTGCTGAGCGCCGCATTGGCTTGGTCATGGAGGTCGCTCGTACCTCCTTGATCCATGCGGCTGCCCCCCACTTTCTGTGGCCGTTTGCGGTCCGATACGCTGCGCATCAGCTCAACCTCTGGCCCCGTGTCTCCGTTCCGGAGACTTCGCCGACACTGCGTTGGACGGGAGAGGTTGGCGATGCGTCGGTGTTCCGGGTCTGGGGATCTCGTGCCTTTGTCCGCGATACGTCCGCGGACAAGCTCTCCTCCCGCGCTGTTCCTTGTGTCTTCCTTGGCTTTGTCCCGGACGCGTCTGGTTGGCAGTTTTACCACGCCACCTCGCGCCGTGTCCTGCCCTCTCAGGACGTCACTTTCGACGAGTTGGTCCCCTACTACCGCCTCTTCCCCTACCGCACTGCCCCGCTCCCCCCCCCGCCTCTCTTCCTCGCACCAGGTGCTGCTGTGGTAGACCCCCTCCCCCCTCAGGGTGCCGCTCCCTCAGGTGTGTCCCAGGTAGACCCAGTTGAGCCTGTCGAGGTAGCTGTCGACTCTCGTCCTGCTAGGGGTGCTGAGCCTGAGCGTGCGGAGCCTGGGGGTGCGGAGCCTGGGGGTGCGGAGCCTGGGGGTGCTGAGCCTGAGGGTGCGGAGTCTGGGGGTGCTGAGCCTGAGGGTGCTGAGTCTGGGGGTGCTGAGCCTGAGAGTGCTACGTCTGAGGGTACTGAGCTTGGGGGTGCTGCGACTGACCGTGCTGCGCCTGGAGGCGCTCCCTCTTCACAGCAGCTGCGGGAGTGGTACTCGCGGTACTGCAGCCTCAGGTTGGGCGCCTCTGGGGCTAGGGGTGCTGCTGGAGCTGGTGCTCGTGGTTCCCCGCCTAGGCGGGAGCCGCCCTCTCCCCAGCGGCTCCGAGAGTGGTACGCTCGGCGCTGCAGTCTCCGGAGTGGTGCTACTGGTGCTTTGGACCCTGGAGCTGGAGCTGCTGCTGGTGCCGCGGACCCTGGAGCTGGAGCTGCTGCTGGTGCCGCGGACCCTGGAGCTGGAGCTGCTGCTGGTGCTGGTGCTGCTGGTGCAGGAGCTGCTGGTGGTGCTGCTGGAGGTGCTGCTAGTGGTGCTGCTGGAGGTGCTGCTGGTGCTGGAGCTGCTGGAGGCGCTGCTGGTGCTGGAGGTGCTGCTGGTGCTGGAGCTACTGGAGGTACTGTTGGTGCTGGAGCTGCTGGAGCCGCTGGTTCTGGAGGTGCTCGTACTGGAGGTACTGGAGCTGCTGGGACTGGAGCTGCTGCGGGGGTTGGAGCTGGAGGTACTGGAGCTGCTGGGGTTACTGGTGGTGCTGCGGGAGTTGTAGCTGGAGACCCTGCGCTTGAGGGTGCTGGTGCTGTCTCTGCTGGTTCAGGAGGTGCTGAGCGGCCGCGGCCGTACTACGTTCTGCTCCTTCAGCAGGTTCTTGGCCTCCCGCCCTCCACTGGTCCTTCTCCTCCCCTACTGAGTCCACCACCTGTCCAGTCGCAGTCACAGTTACCGCGTGCCTCTCCGCTGCCTGGTCCTTCTCCTTACGCTGGGCCGACTAGAGGTCTTACGGAGCGTCGTGAGCCTGAGTCTCGTCCTGCGTCGCCCGAGTCTCGTCCTGCGTCGCCTGAGTCTCGTCCAGAGTCGTCTGTCCGCGCTGTCCGCGCTGGTCGTCGTGCTCCGCGTCAGCGTCCTCCTCCTGTACTTGGCACTCACTATATGACTCTGCGTCCTTCCACTGCTCCACAGCGTGTCCCTCTGCCGTCTCCTCCTGCGTCCTCTCTTCTTGACGGTCCGGACCCGGAGTCTGACTCCCTTCGTGCTGCCAGTCCTACTGTCACGCGTTTCCTCGCCACTGTTGTCACTGACCCTACCTTTGAGTCCTCTGCTGCGTCTGCTCTAGTCGCTGAGCTTGTTGACTTTGCTGCCACCTGTCGTCTAGAGTACGCCACTAGCCTTGTTGCTGAGTCTGAGTCTGTCTGTCCTCCGTCCGTCGGGGGTGAGCGTGCACTTGGCACGGACGTCCTTGAGGACAGACAGGAGGAGTTTGAGTGCTTTGCCGCTGCTTTACCTCATCTCGTGTCCATGCTGCTTGCCCCTGAGGGAGACCCGGATGCACCAGACATCCCGACCCCGCGCTCTTACGCAGAGGCGATAGAGGGTCCCTACTCCTC